TACCTAGGCCAAATCTTGAGACTTGACAAAGAGAACCAAAGTGCGGAATTTACTAGAAGAGCAAGACTAGCATGGGCAGGATTTGGAAAACATAGTTGGATACTTAAGAACCGCAAAATACCCCAATACTTGAGGAGCAAAGTGTTCAACCAATGCATCCTTCCTATCATGACATATGGATGTCAAACCTGGATGCTAACCAAGGCAAACATGAATAAACTAGCCACAACAGAAAGAACAATGAAAAGAGCAATGTTAGGTATACGACTGTCAGATAAAAAGAGGAACGACTGGGTAAAATCCAAAACAAAAGTCGAGGACATAACAATAAAAATTGCAAAACTTAAATGGACCTTCGCGGGCCATAATGCTAGACAGAAAGACCAACGTTGGAATACTGCAATACAACATTGAAGACCTTACGAAAGTAAACGACTAAGTGGAAGACCACAGATGAGATGGGTTGATGACATTAGAAGAATAGCCGGAACAAATTGGAAATATGTTGCTCAGAATAGAGACCGATGGAAGGAGTTGGGAGAGGCCTATGTCCAAAGATGGACGACAGAAGGCTAAGAAGAAGAAGAAGAAGAATCATGGTCAATCATAGGTAAACAAAATGTAAGTGTCAATATGACATAATGATAACAGTCACCAGAGCCACCTCGTCGTATTACAAAATAACTCCAAAATAATTATAATTAAAAAAGGTATAAATTGTGGGTGGCAAATTGATTTGGCTTTAAAAATGAACCAAGGTTTAAAAAACGCAATGCTTAGGAGACATGGTTGCAACCGAAAAATAAGGTTTTACGAAAATTTGCAAACGGTATTCCACAGGATGTTTTAAAGTTAGGATATTAAAACCACGTTTTAATTAACCCCGTACAATAAGTCAAATATAAAATTTCATAAAAAAAAACTGACTATACCAAATTAAAATTTATAAATTTATACACAGTGTGCTAAAAAAATAATCAAAATAGGCCTAAAAATAAACCGGATAAGTAACCGTTGCCTTCATTACAGGCTTTAACACTGAATCTAATGTCCCAAAAAACGGGTGTAGATCACTTGACAAAAACGGATGTGTACAAGCGTTCTTACGATTATAATAGTACAGTGGAATAATGAAAGATATATTTTATTTATTTACTATTTTATCTTTTTTTTTTTAATTTGATTTTTGTTTGGGACTAATACATGAATTTTATTATTGTGGACTATTGCTATCATTTTCATACAAAATACTATTTAATAAATGCGATTTTAGTATCTTATAACAATAATTTGAAATTTCATAAGTAGCAGAAGACTTTTTTTGATAAATGTTTCATTGTGACTGCTTATTTATTATAAAATGTTTCTGAGATCATAACTACAGAATAAGCAGCATTGCCAAGTTGAGTCTTCTATTAAAAGAAAGAGAAGAATAAGATCATCGATCAGATATTACATCATGCAGTGTGTGGAATGTGGCTAAAATGGTAGTTACTTATAATAGTTAATAATTTGATAAATATAAAAGTAATTGCATTAAAATTAGTTTGAATTAAAAGATACTAACGCTTCTAATCAGTAGATATAGAATAAATTCGACGGGTACGTCGAAGAACCCGACAGAATTCGTGAATCGAACTATTCAATCGAAGAAATCTCAGACTATCCGTATCAAAGTAAGTGCGCTGGCCAGACTGCATCACTCTAGAATTTAACTAGAGCATAATACTATTGAAATTTAATTGAGAATAAACTTGACTTGCAAAATACTAATGAATTTATACATCTCTGGATGCACTCTAATGCACTTTGATGATATCGGGCGTGTATTTTTGCAAATTTTGGACTTCTTAACCGAACACTTGGCACATTGTGTTTTTATGTCCTAAATTAACTATATACCAAGATATAGCGGTGGAGATTATACGGTGGCGGTTGCAGCTTAGCAGCCAAGATACTGGCCTTCTAAGCCATACCGCTCGAGTTCGATTCATTGGCAACAACAACGGCATTTTCATTTCTAAAAATGATCTGCACGAATGATAACGAAAGGATCTCCCTGGCAAAAATGACATAAAATATTATTACCTAGATTAAAAACTACTTCATCTCTATCCAGAGGTATCCGTAATGTCGACCAATTGTCCCAAATTACAAATATAAATCTTTTAATTTATGGTTTATTCCCAAATATACATTAAATAAAAACTTCTTCGACTGCTTTCTCCTATCGAATGCCGGCAATACTGTGTTGTTTAGCCAGGATCACTGCTTGTGTCCCAGCCCTTCAATGTTTACCCTTGTTGTATAAATTCGAATCTATTATCTCTCATTATATGACCAAACATTGTGTTTTCTGCTTTTTTTGTAATTTTTAATGAGCCTACACTCTTTGTTGGCTTTTTCTGTCGTTTCTACATTGAGAGTTACTCCGTCGCCTTACTTACTCTCTGGTCACACAGAAAACGGATATTCATATGGTTCCACTCCTGACCTCGAAATAATAGTCAAAAGAACATTTTGTCACCTTTATTTTTTATCATAATCCCTAGTAAGTTTTGCATAGCTTTCTCATCGGCGCTCCAACATTTCGCTAACGTCTTGGAAGAAATTTGCTTCCATCTATTTTCGACACACCAGAAAATCCTAAGGTCTTCTTTGAGTTTTGAGGGCAGCCTGTAGTCACTCGGTGCCAAATCTGCTACACAATTTCGAAACCATTACGAAACCTATTGCAACCAAGAACCATGTGCTGATGCGTTGTCCTGGTGGAAGATCACACTTTTCTGTAACTTTCTCCGCATCACTTCTTTTATGGCTTCACGCAATTTTTGTATAAGTTGCGCATAGAGTAACAGCCGGTTATAGTAGCTCCTTCTTCTAAACCATAACCTTGTTGTTTCGCCGTACCCATGTTTTGTCCAATAAAATTCTTATCCAAAAGTATCTAAAAGCCGCTGACAAATGTTAGTTCTGGCATGCTTCTGATTAGCTGAGAGTGTTCGTGGAACCCACATTGCGGTTAGTTACTTCATATTTAAAATATTGGATGTAATCTTCTGAACTGCATGAAATAAAAGACCTTTTCCTTTGATATTTTACAGATTTCTCCTCCATTAAGTAGACATTTATAATTCTACCAAATCTTTCATTCTACTTTTGTATTATGGTCTTTCTCCCCTTTCGCTGGTATGATATTGGAATTTTTCTTAATAGTACGTTTTCCTTTTATTCTGATCTTATATTTCGAATGAATTCCCTCGATTTCCTAGCTTTTCTGTGTCCTACAAACGTCTTAAGCTCTTTACATTTTATCTTCCGATGTATTTTTTTTTCTTTTTACTCTCTGTTTTGTACATCTTGCCAGTGTTGTTTTACATTGATGCAGTTCATTACAATTATTCCGTGCAGTAACCTCAGAGATAAGGATAGCAATGATGATTGCCAACCTCCCTGGTGGAGAAGGCACGTGAAGAAGAGGTTCCGTTTTGTATCTAACCCTATCAATATAATAGTTGTTTATTATACCTGTTTGTTATTTGGTTTCATTTATTTCCTGGAGTTCTATTTACCAATCTTTGTTTTTATTTGTTAGGCTTAGTTCGATGTTTTATTGATCTCCTGGTGGTTTAGTACACCTTAAAACTGATCATTTCTTACTGTTTCATGTCTTATATTTTTATATATTGGTGTCGATACTCCTTCTTAACAAGTTCATCTTTTTTAACTCCACTGAATACGCATATGTATATTCTCTGGCTATTTTAGATCCTTTTTTGGTATCAATATTCCAATATTCAATTATCTTTTCCTTTGCTTTTGTTGTTTCCTGTTAAGACTGCTTAATAACCGAGACTGTGTTATGTTCATAACACTACAATTTTTTATGTATATAGAGTCGCTTTCTATATGATACAACTCCCGACCTGGAAAACCAGCATTTTCTATTGGGGTTTATTCCCTTAGCCGATTTGATCTAATTTTAAGACTAGGAACTCCCATTACAACTCCCTTTAGCTAGGTAACACGCACCTATTGGATGCAATTCACCCAGAGATTATAAAAGATTTTATGTCTTCGAGAACGTGAGAGTAGGAATTGCTAGCATCGCTGAATTCTAGTTATTTTTCTATATTTCCCACTCATTTGTCGGAAAACAGTAGATATTACTCAGAGTATTATTACAGCACAAAGACTCTCATAGACGTACGAGTATACTTGAACTGCATACATGAACAAGTGTATTATGCAAGTATGTCTGATATATAGTTTTTACAACATATGTACAAGTACGTGTGCATATTACAGCCTTTAAACTTGACTATGTCAGCGTCGAATGACGACATCGCTATGGCCGCTGTTTTTGAACCACTGTATCATAATATTCTTGCGGATTATTTTCCCCAATATTTCTATTCGTTTTTATATATTGTTTGCTTATAATCCTCCACAAACATCGTTTTCCTTCTTAAATAGAATTAATTTTTCGATGCGCTCACGATATCCTGTTTTCAAATTACTAGTCATAAATGAACTCTTAAATCACACTACCCTACGCAAGCACCAATATCGTACTATTCCACAAATGTACACGCTCTCATGTCGTTTGTACAGTTAATATGCTTTTGTAAATATTACTAAACAGAAGTTCTAGTATATTTGTGCATGTTCACGTATACCGGTAAGTTACCCTTAATTATAGGCAATTTATACTGCCTCGGAAGTTCATTACCTGTCTTAACCACATGTAAGTTCAGTTGAAAAAAACTGGAAATGCAAAATTAAGACTTGATATGTGTTAAAATGTATGCAATGAAATAGCAAAGAAAAGTATTATTTTGTTTGAGATAGCTTTAGTCCTGAAAATGATTTTATTTACATTTACATTGGGTCAATAACTTCATTTCTTTCATCTTCTAATTTCTGTTGGAAAACTTTGGCTTAAATTTAGATTAACTAATCATCATATTTCAAATATCTAGCACAGTGATGGGTTTTAGGTGATGGAACATGCAGAAATCTACACACTAGAAGCTGCTAGTGCACCATTATCTCCTAAAGTTTCTTCTCCTCCTAGCCGTTCAAAGACGCCTAAAACTCCTTCATATTCAAATGTGGTTAACAGCAATATGTCACTCAGTAATTGTTTTAAAGTTAACCAAAGTTTGGCTTGCCTTGAAACCTTACACGAGAATTCGGGGGATAATAACTTGGAGGACTTTGACATTGGTTTTAATCAATCATTTGATCCTAATATAACACCCCACAAGAGAAAAAGGAAATTTAATTCCCCTGATCAGTCAAGTATTTTGGTTAAAAGAAAAAGAGACAAGAGTTACAGCGAAAGAAAAAGGAAAGTGTCAGAATTCTTCAAGACTCCCATAAATTATTTCTCCAATCGTAGGAGAACTATAGATGCATCATCTTTAAATCAAAGTTTAAGCGAGAGCGTTATATCCAGTTCGGGTATATTCAATGTAGAAACAGTACAAAATTTGAGCTCTTACAATGATAATACTCCTCAAAATAGCAAAAAAGGACTAAAGAAAAACCTATTTACACGTACTTTCAGTTCTTCAAAGTTTCGAAGGACCAAAAAAAGCATAGATCTGAATGCTACCAAATTGTCTTTTGGAGAAGCTTGTGACGTCGAAGGCAGAGAAAAATTGAACGCTACCTGTTTTCCAGATATATCCTTAAATCCCATCACCACTAACACTTACGAGCTTAGCAGTGAACATGCGAGGGCATCAAGGAGAACTTCTGTGTCTGCTGTTGCGGTACTAACTTCATTTGACTGTTTTAAATGTTTGTTTTAGATATCAAAACTTTCTTCATTTAATTCAATTTTCACAAGTTTAAGATGTTTTAAAGTGTATTGGTTTTAAAACATATTAAAAAGCTGATAAAATAACGTTGCTTCCAAAATTTCGATGATCATTGACTTTTTTTTAAATAATAGCTAAGCGTAAACAACTTGTAACGAAACAGACTAATGTGATTGGTATATTTTCTTCACTCTTCTCCACGGGCGCACAATACGTGATATGGCCGAAAACATCAATAAGAATTTAAAAATATTGCTTTATGATTAGCAAACACATAATATGTTGAAATATCGTTGAGCCTAACGTCCACTGTCATTATATTTAACTTACTATAAAATTTTGCACCCCACGTGCACTGCTTTTTTGTTGGCGTTAAACAGCTGATCAGTTACAAGTTAAGATAATGATTGAAAGGAGGAAATTTGAATACTTTTTCAATATCTTCAAAAATATATCAAATTTCGAAGACATTTTGATTGCAACGTTTTTTTACCTTGTGAGCTTATTCTTTCTTTTGGGTTCATTTTCTATTTCATTTTATATATAGATATTATATCACAAAGAAAGAAACAATGTATATAAATATTTGGTTGATATCACTTGGCCTCTCTTGGCTATTTTAGTTAATTCAAGGTGAATAAAGATTCTAGTATTCTAAATCTATTATAATTGGTTAGTTTAGATAATGAATATTATCTGAGTATTGTATATGAATGAGTTATATATTTTTGTTTACCAAAGGAGAAGCCACAAATATGTTTATAATAAAGCTAATAATTTTAGCAGGAGTTCGCCATTAAGACATGAGATTTACTTTTTTATTTTTCCTGATCCAAATGTTTCTCCGTCCAGTAATAGGCAGGGCATACTCTGAACTTCAGTAAAGATTTTATTTGTCTTGACAGGGACAACACCTGTTCTTATTCTGTTTAATGACTTCAATTGTCTCCAGTCAGGACGTCTGCCGCCAAGATTATCTTGACGTAGCAAGTAGTCGTTAAGTGGCTCTAGAGGGATTGTCTTTAGAAAGCCTTTCCTTAATCTTAGTTTAGACTGTTCGTGTAGTGGATGCATAGCTCCATATAGTGGATGTCGTTCATCGAACTATTGTTTGAATTTTTCGTTGTGTTCTGGAATCTCTCATACTGGTGAAGGGCGACTAGGTTTCATACACACGTAGACCAGGAAATGAAGCACTAAACCTACCAATTTTCCTAATGAATCGCTGAGAAATGCATTCGATTCGTGAAGGTATTGAAAAAATGTGAAGGAAAATAAGCCCACAGTCAGATTAGCAACATGGAACATTACTTCTTTCAACAACAAAGCCCAAGAGATAATAGAAGAACTGATAAATAAAAACATAGACGCTTGTGCAATGCAAGAAACCAAGAAGAAAGGTAAAGACCAAAGAGAATGTAACCAATATTTCCTAGCATACAGTGGAGTGAAGAAAGAAAAACGAGCACAAGCAGGTGTAGGTATACTTGTTCATAAAAAATTTAAAGACAACATAAATACCTGAAGTTATATCTCCGAAAGAATAATACATATGAACATCACAATGAACTACCAAAAATTAAATGTCATATCTATCTATACCCCCGAGGACTGCAAACCCAAGGAGGAACGAGAGGCATTCTACGACCAATTGCAAACTATCCTGGATGAAATACCTGATGAAGAACCCTTAATTCTTATGGATGACTTTAATGCACGAATCGGAAATAAAATAGTCCCAGGAGTAAAACAAAAATTTAATGAAAACCATGTCAACGCAAATGGAGAACTCATGGCTAATCTCTGTGCTTTTTTACGAACTGAGAATCAATAATACATGTTCCGACTATAAGCTCCAATATACATATACATTTGAAAACTCCACGGGCACAAATCTATGATTTATTGATATTGATTTTATAGTCATACTGAACAAAAGAAACAACAATACATCATGGTTCAGAAAAGAAATAAAAGAGAAATTTAAAGACAGACGATAGGCCTACACGAAGTACAAAACATCAAATACCCCAGAATCCTGAGACAACTATAGGAGAATACGAAATGAAATAAAGCAGTTGGTAAGAAGAACAAAAAATGAACACTGGGAACAGTTTACAAAAAGGATGGAAAGCGACTTCTTCGGTACACAAAAACAAATATGGAGATTCATAAGAAACCAACGGAAAAAAAATGGCAGAATTGAAGGAATACAATAACATACCAGCAAACGAATGGGAAAGATACCTGACGGAACTGTTTAAAGCAAAGGAAAATAATAATCAACACAATAATGTACCTGAATTAAGACACGATATAGAAATCAGTTTTCAGGAAGTAGAAATAGGCATAAATTCACTCAAAAATAGAAAGTCACCAGGACCAGACGGAATAACCAACGAGCTTCTAAAACACGGAGGAGAAAGTATAACCCTAGAAATGACAAAACTTATACAAAAACTAATATTACACTGCAAGATACAACAATTATAGAGGTATAAATCTACTGAACACCGCACTTCGGCTTTAAAAACCGTCATAACAATTAAACTGCGACAATACATAGCAATAACTTTGTATATATTCTAGCTGATTTGGTCGTTTCTGACACCTCTTACGTCATTCTTTTTTATCATTCCAGGAGTCTTCATGCAAATTCCTCCTACTCAACGCCTATTTGATACTTTCTATCTTTTTGCTGGACGGCCTCTCATTTTCCTCCTTTCTGGGACCCAATAAATTTGCTTCGCTTATCTTTTGTGTGGCATTCTCCACATGTAGACATATGTACCAGGACAGTTGTTTCGGTTCTATACAACTTCTATAACACTCATTGTCTTCTGATAATATTAACACTTCTACTCCGGTTGTTACAGTGCTTTTTACCAATGATCTGAGCAACTTTTTGCTTAATTTGATTTGAAAAACTTTTATTCTATAATAGGGAATGTGTTCTACATCGATTTTTATATCTTTTGGATCATGTTTTCCTATTGTGTAATATCCGTTTGCGTCGTCCTCATCTTCAGCAATGACAACCAGATCGCCCGCAAATAAATAATGTAGATTTGCCTGGTTCCATTTCGAACTCTCATAGCATTGCATAAACTTGTTAATTGTTTCAGCACAGTATTAACGTATATTTTGAAAAGAGTAGGTGACAAACAGGAACCATATATTAGCTTTGGTTAATTAAAAACATATCTGAGCAGTTGCTTCCTGTTCTTACATTGCTAAAGTTGCCTTCATAGAATTCTTTAGTAGCGTTTACATAAATTAGTGAGATATTTTGCTGTTGCATGGCAACCCACAACTTATTCAGAGATACGTTATCATAAGCTTTTTCAATCGATCAATATTATAGTTAGTTCATTATCAACTTTAGTTTTCTCGATTAACTGTCTGAGACTGTCTGCTTTCTTATTTTTCATACCTTTTAATGCTTGTTTTATTTCATCAGTTGTTATACAGGGTGTTTGGTAGGTCGATGGAAACTTTTTAAAGGATAATAGGGGACGCCCTTGCAAAATTTTTTTTGCTAATAATGTATCGTTTAAACTGTTAAGGTTCCGAAATAAAGTTAAATTTGGCAATATGTATTTGAACATAAGGCTGCTCGTGTATTTTATTTTTAAAAATAATTATCTAAGCGAGATACTTTCCTTACATACAAAATGCCTTACGTATTACTTGCTCAGATTGCAAAAAACCTTTGTTTAATCTTAATGCATTGTTAAAATAACCTTCATTAATGAAATGGGTAAGAAAGGTAAAACACAACAACGATACATCATGCTTTTTGCAACATTTATTATGCCTTGTTAAGTATGTACATAAACTTCAGAAAACAGTCCATTGTTGTTCAAAATGAGAACCACCATTCCCAATGCACGCTCTTACCCTGCGGCGTATTTCTGATGTGGTTACTTTTATCCTCAGTTTTGCTATGATAATGTCAGCTGCTTCGATAATCCTTTCCATTAAATAAGCTCTAGTTCGGATTTGAACTTGATACACAAGTTCTTTGAATCTGCCCCAGATGTGATAGTCATACGGTGTTAAATCGGGCGATCTAGCAGGCCACAAAATCCGTCCAGTTAGTCCAATCCACGTATTGGGATAGTGATTGTTGAACCAAGCCATAAAGCGCGTGCACAATGTGCAGAGCATCCATGATGTTGGTATACAATTCTTCGTCTGAAGGCGAGGGGTAAATCTTCTAAGAGTGGTGGTAATTCACTCTTTAGAAAGTTTAAGTACAGTTGACTATTTAACCTGCCTGGCAAAAAGTAAGGTCCTATTAACTCTCGTCCGATAACTCCTACCCAAACGTTGATACTAAATTTTTGCTGAAAAGATGTTTCTTTCGATAGATGGGGATTGTCATGTGCCCAGTAATGCAGGTTGTGAAATTTTTTTATTCTTTCTCTATTAAAACTGGATTTATCAGTCCGAAAATTACCACCGCTGATGTTTGCATCTACCTTGTACCGGCGTGTAATGATAAGGGTAGCGTCCATCGTTGTTCACTACCGACCAGACCTTCCATTGCGAGACATTTAACATTTAACATTTGTAGTAGGATCATTCGTAACAGTTTGCAAAATTTGGTCGTCTACATCAGGACCGTAACGTTCAGGATTAATACCGGAAACAGGATTGTTAACACTACCAGCTTCACTAATTCGTCGATATGTGTTAATAAAGACACTTACACGGGGGAGGTCGCCGGTTAGGATAGACGTTGTCTATCCCAGAATTCGTTTTGACTTTTCATTACTGTTTTTTTTTTTGTTTCATAATTGTGTCTGGCATAAATGGTTCTATTCTTTAGTATTCCTGTACTAACAAAAAAAAAAACGACAATAACTTTGTTCAAACTGGAATAATCAATGATTTTTACAAAGCCATAGTATTGACATTCAGTTTGTGATAAAGCATGCACTGTTTTAGACAATACCAAATTCAGATATCAGCAATTAGCATGTAAATTTATAAACTTTCATTTTATCAATAAGTTTAATATATTGTTCTGAAGCTATTTTCTTGTGGCATTGTGAATTAATTACTATTAAACTGGGAATAAGCCACAATTAAAGATAAAAATACGTTTATTAGACGTTTCAATTTCCACTTCGGAAATCGTTCTCAAAATACAAACAGTAAATTAAACAAATTTTGTTTTTTGTTACATAGTGAAAAATTCTTCTAATAATTTAATTTTATCTGACTCATTTATATTGACAATTCAGACATACATTATGCATTTTAAAAGTAGACGACTTTAAAATGATATTGCCAATATTGTTGAGTTGCGCTCCTGGGACGACTTTATTTATAAGATAGTTCATTCGATTACATGAAATCAACTTTAACTTGAGAATGTCCGTCAGAAAAAAATCATAGCATGTAATTCGTCTATTAAAAAGACAAACATATGACATGATGACAGTAAAATTCTCCTTTAGTGAATCCATAGTAAATTATGAGGGAAAACCAGGAAAAAACCTCATAATACTATCCCGACATGGTAAGTATTTGTTCGTGCATTTAGTTTACCTTCAATAAACACCAAAATTCTGATTTTATATGTTTCGTTATTTAAAAAACATAAATGATCTATCCTCTATATGTTACTGACTTAATAAGAAAATACAGTATATAGTAAGTCAGTAACATACAGGATACATCATTTATGTTTTTTTAAATAACGAAACATATAAAATCAGAATTTTTGTGTTTATTGAAGTAAACTAAATGCACGAACAAATACTTACCATGTCGGATAGTATTATGAGGTTTTTTTTTCTGGTTTTTCCCTTATAATTTACTATGGAATCACTAACAGAGAATTTTAACTGTCATGTCATGTGTTTGTCTTTTTAAAGACGAATTACATGCTATGATTTTTTTCTGACGGATATTCTCAGTTAAAGTTGATTTCATGTAATAGAAGAACTATCTTATAAGTAAAGTCGTCCCAGGAGCGCAACTCAACAATATTGACAATATCATTTAAAGTCGTCTACTTTAAAATGCATAATGTATGTCTGAATTGTCAATAGAAATGAGTCAGAATAAAATTAAATTATTAGAAGAATTTTTCACTATGTAACAAAAAACAAAATTTGTTTAATTTACTGTTTGTATTTCGAGAACGATTTCCGAAGTGGAAAATTGAAACGTCAATAAACGTATTTTATCTTTAATTGTGGCTTATTCCCAGTTAAATAGTAATTAAGTTTAATATATTCCGACAAATTTACCAAACATATTTAGTATATAATTGTGTATGAACATTGAGCTAATGGATAAAGTGTAAACGTTTATATATTTTATAATAATTTCACCATTTGAATGAAGAAAGTTTTTATTATCATCAGAATTCTGTATTCAATAATTAATAATGCAAAATACACAGTTCTGTATGAGTATTCAAAGAGCATCCTCAGACCTCAGCTTTAATATTTGCTTTTTAATTTTCCTTAAATGTCACGTTTATGTATGTGCTTTTTGAAACCGTAGATTTTGAGAATACACAATTAATTTCATCACTTTCCAATAATTCGATAAAGGTTACTTAAACGATAGATTCTTATACATTCTAATTTCCCCATAATTTAGGTCGTGGACGAGTCTACAGTAACGGAACGACCAGAGGCTCCTTCGAAGGTTTGGATTGTAAAAGCGGAGTGGTTCTGGACCTCGGTGCAAAAAGAAACAAGCTTGCCGGAGAAAGATTATCTATTTGATGATGTAAGTATTGTACATTTATTTAGGTTATTTTGCCTTTATTTACTAAAAAGAAATCAGTTAAGTTACATAACGATACATTGTTTTTGGGGTTTATAGACTCGGTTTGGAATTTTTTTTATCGTATGACAACAAATAAGAACACATAATTAAAAATCAATCTAAAACGCTACATGGAGTATTACAAACGAACATCTAATGTATTATTATTATAATGTAAAACATTTTCGGTCGCATTCAAAAACTCATCGAAAACTCCAGGGAATTGCCTTCGGGGGCATTCTTCAACAATGTGACGGACAGTCTGTCATTGCGTACCACAGTCACACTCAGGAGTAAGGGCTTTTCCCTATCTACATAAGCTGTCAGCACATCTACCGCTGCTTGTTCATATTTCGCTCGCCCATTGATTTCTCCAAGTTGGTGAGGTTGAAATATTCCTGATGTAATGAGTTGGCTCCTTATAATGGAGGATATCTGGAGCGCAGTCTGTTTATTTCAATATCAAGCTTATGGTGGATGGGTAGTTGATGGTTAGCCTCGATTTTTCGATATTCTCTGAGAAGAAAATGACTTCTGAATGAAGTTTCGGCGGTGGAATGTGAGAATGGGAAGCCAATAGTTTGGTGTGGGTCTAATTGTACCTGAGATCATTCTCATTGTCTAGTTTAATTGGGTGTCAATAATCTTCGTGTGTTTTGCTGTCGTTCTTTGTAGGTATTCTTTAAAACTCAATGTTCTATCCAGAGTCTCCAAGATATTTTGGTGTTGAGTTATGAGTGAGCAGTCTGTTGCTAAGTGAACGGAGAGTTTTTTGTTGGTTTGGGCATTATTCAGATGGAAACAGCACACTTCGGTTTTGGTTGCATTGGGCCGTAGCCTCCATTTGCGAAAGTATTCTCCCATAACGTCAAGGTCGTCCGTTAGTATCTTTACTATAATATCCATGTATTATGTCTTGCTGCAATGGCCCAGTCGTCAGCGTAGCCAAATTTCTGCGAAGTTGCCCCAGGTAGCTCCGCGATGTATAAATTAAACAGTAAAGGTGCCAAAACAGATCCATGTGGCAGTCCATTGCTGAGCTTCGTTTGGACACTTTTAAAGTTGCCCATTGTAACTTGAAAAGGTCTCTCGGTATACATGCTATCAATGATTTTAGTTACCTTTTGACACAGTATATCACGGATTAGTTTGCAGATTAGTCTTTGTCTCCAGACAAAATCGCATGCAGCTGATAGGTAAATGAAAGCAACAGATGGTTTTTGCTTTCTTTAAAACCTTCTTCAATATGTGTTGTTAGGGATAGGACCTGATCTGTGCAAATGAAGTTAGGTTTGAACCCTGCTTGCTCAATAGTTATCAATTCAAATATGTTTCTACTAATTCTGCTGTAGATTAAGCGTTCTAACAGTTTGTAGACACAGCTCAGCAGTACAATCGGTCGGTAGTTTTGGGGCTGATCATTTGCCTTTCCTGGATTTAATATGACTATAATGGAGGCCTTTTTTAGTGAATGGTGATTTCTCCTTATTTTAACATATCTGTATAGAAATCAGCCAGCCACTTCCTAGCATATTTGCCACAGTGGAGAAAAATTCTGATAGATTTTATCAGTGCCTTTAAGGTGCCTTTCCAAACTTAATTTCTGATATTGCTGAAATAATTTCTTGTGGAGTAAACTCGTCAGAGCATTCAGATGTAGGCGAATATTTTACTTTATTGGTGTGGTCACGATCTCTAGGTGCTTTTAGGTTGATAAAATGTGGGAGGCCACTCTGTCTGAGGAGCTATTGGTACTTTGTCTCTAATTGGAAGTCTGCTACTACCAAATTTTCCAAGTAAAGAGTGTGCTTTCTGCTTGATTTACTAAAGTCTAGTTTTTTCCAGTTTTCATCCATTTTGTCGTCTGGCTGCATCTAAACTGTGTAGTAGTTCGTCCGCAATTTCTCGGTTTAGGCTTTCGTTGTATTCTCGTTACAATTTCTCACATTTTTCATCTTATCTTGGGATATACTCTTTACGATATCCTCTGGGTATAGAGGATATTGGATAGAGGACTTGAGTTAAGTCAGACGAGTATTTTCGCTAGGTTTTGTTGTTCAAATGTACTTAAAACAATTACAGGTAGTAAGATAAATTTCTGGAGTGGACCCGCAGTTCTTTTAGATCTTTGAAGATTGACCCGATATGGACTACCTAAGTCTGACGTCATAATGGGCGTGGTTTATAAAAACCCTTGCCAAAAATTGCTAATTTGTGTGTATTTGTCCCATAAGAAGTTGGAAATATTGGTTTTTTTAATTGTTTGAAGAATAAATAAGGACTTTTGGTTATGAACATGCATTCTATGTGATTGGTATTATTTGTTGTTTGTAAATTTGTGTGATAAGAATATCAAAGTATTAAGATATTTACTATGGATGTTCATATTTTAAGATTGTTATTATTTGATTAAAACAAATAACAAAAAAAAACAATATAACAATAAAACAATAAATATAACAACAAAATACAGTGAAAAATAAGTTTTAACCAAACAATAATATAACCTTAAAAGATGAACATTCATAGTAAATATCTTAATACTTTGATATTCTTAGCTCAAAAATTCACAAACAAATAATACCAATCGCACAGAATGAATGTTCATAATCAAAAGTCCTTATTTATTCTTCAAACTAAAAAAAAAAAAACAAATTTACAACTTCTTACGGGACAAATATACACAAATTAGAAATGTTTACAAAGGTTTTTAAAACCCCCGGCCATTGTGACGTCAGAGCTTGAGTAGTCCATTATTCTTGTTAATATTTTGCTGATACATCTTAAACATACTGTAAGAAAGCTCTACGGTTTTCGTTTGTTTTCTAGTTGTTGGTCGTTACTACAATTGTTACTTTTTTGTCATATATAACGCTTTATGTAATAATCGTTCTCTCTCAACGCAATTTCTAGACGTTGCTGTTCTTTCTTCGAAGTTCAACAATAATGTCGCATTTTAGGAATACAACAATTCCCATGCAGAGGATGCAGGCAAAAAACTTCAGCATTTCATCATAAGTAACCTGTTGCTACTTTTTCAATCGAGATTTTTATTATACCTACAAAACAACTACGTAGCAAAATATAGCTTTGTCTAATATATAAATTTTAGTATCTAGACCAAGTTTTGTCTCCGTCGGGTCGAAGGGATTCAAGCGCCACCCCCGGAAGTGCTGCCAGACGGAGAAAACGGAAATTGTTGCTATCGTCTCTTGTACATAACCAATCGCCCGCTCTTACGAAACGAAGATCATCGGTTAGCGATGCTGGGTTGTTGTCAGTCTCTGGGTCATTTTTGGATTGTACGACGAGTCCCAATAAGGAGATAATCGATGGTGCAGAACCGGTAATCGACACTCCACGCAAGGGATTAACACAGAGGCATCAAGTATTTTTGGAGTTACTACAAACAGAAACAAACTATGTAGACATCTTACATACGATAGTAACGGTAAGTTTAGCTATGACTATAATTTTGTTTTTTAAATTAAAAAATATAGCAAAACACATCACTGTTTTTTAATTTCCAGAGTATCATCAACTTAACATGTTTTGCTGTGCCTTCAGCTTCTTCGTAAAAAAAATTTCTCGTTGCACTTAGTAATGGAGATTTCCCAATATATGTTTGTTCATTGAGAATTAAATACGTCTTTCCTTTTCCAGGACTCGTTTGAGTAAGCCATCTTCCATGATAAATGATTCCCACTTTGCCCAATACGTCTTAACTACTTTTAATATTTCGAATCTAATTTTTTTCCTTTTTTGTTGTCTATGTAAAATTTCTATTTCAATTCATGAACTTCTGTAATCAAATGATTGAGTATACAGTGAAACTTGGTTATAGCGTCATTGAAGGGTCCAATAAAAAAATGACGCTATATCAGAGTGACGTTAAAAAAGAGGATGAGAAAAATAAAATTTTAATGAGGGAAAATATTATTACAGCATTATTGGTATAGTAGATATATTATTTGTTAATTACTCTGGGCCTAAACATGATAATTTAACATAGTTTACGATATACCGAAAATATAACATTTACTTAAGTCAAATTTAAAAAAAAAAAAACAAGAATCATTTTAGGATAAAAAACAATTAAAAAACAAAACATATTATGTATGTATATGAAACTTACATTGTGTAAAAAAGTTCTATTGTTGAAAAAAGTCTGTTATTTTCTTTTGCACAACCCTTTCCGAAAAATAAAGTTTTTCTGTTGTTTCCTTAATAAGCTGAGCTGCTTCTTTGGTATTTGTGAATGCCTCCCTGCACTGGTAAAACCTGGATATGGTCTCAGCAGCTCTCATTGCTTCTTGGATTGTAGGACAAGCAACGATGTCTTTTTCTTCTTCAGCTTCATCGAAATCCATTTCCACGTTTTGCACCAGTTCAACAATTTCTTTATCACTTAGGACTTGAAATGTTTCCACCTCAACGTCTACTGAAATGTAGGAGTCAAGGTCAGTTCCGAACGCTCCCTGATTCTCATTAAATTTTTGTATCCACTCTGACAAAGGCATTTCGTCATCTTTAGCAACGTCCTCAACATTGAGAGAAGCTACAGTCAATTTTGCTTGACGAAAACACTCATGAATTGTCACTGACGTAACCGCATTCCACGCATTGTCTAAAACCTGAACAGCATCCAGGATGGTAATGTTCACAGGTTCTCCATTATCCATACAAAAAATCATTCTTTTTAAAAGCTGTTTTCGATAATGGCACTTTAAACTTCTTATGACTCCCTGGTCCATAGGCTGCAAGACACTCGTGCAGTTGGCTGGTAAGAACACTAGATGTATATTGGTCAAATTAAGTTTGGGATGGGCGGCACAGTTGTCAACTAGGAGAAGAATTTTTCTTTTTTTGAAAGAGAGTTCCTTGTCCCACTTTCTCAATTCTTCTTCAAAAATAGCAGAAGTCATCCATGCTTTTTTATTGGCTGTGTAGTTTACAGGTAGTGTTTTAATGTTTTTGAAACATCTAGGATGTAAACTTTTCCCAATAACCAAAAGCTTTCTTTTCTCTGTACCTGTCATATTTGCACAAACAAAAGCCGTCACTCTGCTTGGAAAGTTTTCCACCGACACATTTTTGATTTTTGAAATTTAAAGTTTTGTCTGGCGTTAATTTATAAAAGACACCTGTCTCGTAACCATTAAAGATATCTTCATCTTTGTATGGTTGCCTTTGTTGTGGCCATATGTTTTGTAACCAGTCACTTGTTACGTTCTCGTCCACACATTTTGCCTCTCCAACAATTTTCGAGAAGGAAATTGAGTGCCTGGCTTTAAACCGATCTAACCAGCCGTTAGAGCATGTGAAATCTTCTCCAAACAATTTTCCGAACTCTGTAGCTTTCTCCTTTAAAAGTGGCCCGGACACAGGGATATCAGAACTGCGACACTGCTTGAACCATTTGAGTAGAGCTGAATCTACATCACCACGAATGCACTTCCTAATCTTTTTAACATTGTTTCCGTCCTCTTTAAAGGCTTTTAAAATTTTGTCCTTGTTTTTTATGATTGAGCCGACAGTCGAATTAACAAGTCCAAATTGCCGGCATACATCAGCAATTTTTTGACCACTTTCAAATGCTCTTATAACACGCACTTTTTCTTTAATGGGCAAAACCTTCCTTTTAGTGCTACAACTTGCCATATTAAAAATAAAAGCTAATTACCAAATTAAAATAATAAAAAAAAAACAAAACGATCCGAACACAATTTCACGGTAGCGAAAATTTCTTAAACCGACTGTTCCGAAACAGAAAATTTGACTGTTAGGAGTGTTAGGACGGCACGGATAAATGGGAAATTATAGATTGTCAGGGTAACATAACTGTACACAGAAGGGATAATGGACCTTTCTTACATTCTTGGAAGGAACAAACGCCGCAAAGCCAGAAACGCATTGCACTTTATTCTTCATAAAATAAAAAAAGGATAACCTACTATAAAATTTTATGACGCTATAACCGAGGGTTAGTTTATTTTACCCGATAAAACCGGGTTTTTAATAACGTTATGGAATAGTTTTTGACCGGACCTATTAAAAATTGACGTTATAACCGAGATGACGTAACTACCGAGGCCGTAATAAGCGAGTTCCACTGTATTTTAAGTTGGTTTTCCGTTTTTAAATCTTTTTCCCCTCTGACCTATGTATACTTTTCTATCACAATCTTATACACTCCAACTTCGGCTTTTATCATTTAATTCAGTAGTATTTCAAATAAATTGTGGTATAGTCGGCGCGGAATTACAGTAGAAAAGCGCTCTCTACGCGAAGGTAAAATAATAAAAAAATGGCACTGTTTCATGAGTAAACGTTAAATTATTACTCTGAACAGTTTCACTGCCATTGCCACTGTTCATAGTAATAATTGAAGTATGATACTTACTTTAGAAATTTACTATTTTTTTTGGAAATTTATTTATTTACTTTAGAAATTAAATAAGAATTAATATTAAGCAGTTGATTTTAAATGTACGAATATATTGCCTCTGATTTAGAAAGTTCTAGAACAGAGTTCTTCAAAAACATTTTTAACATGCCTTTGCCATCGTCAGATATTGAAAATCTCGCTTACGGTTTATTTGATAGCTTTGTAAATATTTTTGTTGATTACAAGGTTCCATTGGTTCTTCATTTTATGAATAATATGGCTTCACAGACGCCACAGAAATACAATCACATGTAAACCAGTTCAGTACGCTATTGATCATCATCAGCCCATAGTCGTCCACTGCTGAACATAGGCCTCCTCGAAAAACTTCCATTCAGATCTATCCTGCGCTGCTGCAAACCAGTATTTATCACACTTATCTAAATGCCGTTTTGTTACTAAAGTACTCTCGCACTCGCAAAATCTGCTTTCTTAAGATGATCGATATAAACTAGTTAATCCATATAAATATTCCTAAATTTTCTAAAAAATATTCACGTATTTATACATAAAGATAAACGCCTTGTACATTTAGTTTTAATAGTCGGAGATAATTGCCGCCTACAGAAATTATGACTTTCAAGACGCAATTATACCAGGATCATTCTTTAATTGATAATATCCATAATGCCACGTATTTTATTCGATCAGTTTCTTCCATGAGTATGGATGAATCTTTCCATTGTGCTCTGTGCTGACTGTTCTATGCATGTTTGCGTATCTATCTGTCGAAGTATCTGTTTTTGACAAATGATTCATGCTCATTTATACTAACACTTAGTGGTTTTGAGGTTTCTCCCACATAAAAATTGTTGCGTTCACAAGGTACTTTATAAATGCAGTTTCTTGAACACTCCTGTTTGTTGTTTGGTTTGGTTTTGCCACAGTACAGATTTCAGTGTGTTTGTTGTCTTGAAAATTGTTGTGATGTATTTATTCCCTATCCTTTATTTTTCTGATAAGCCTTTAACATATGGTATTTTTCTTACCTTTATATCCCTTCTTGTGGGCATTATTGGGTTATTTTTGATATTTTGTTGTCGCTGTTCTGCAATCTTGTGAAATTCCTTGTTTATAAATGCCAATGAATAATAATTTTATGTTAAGACCTTTGTTAGCAAGTTTTATTTTTCCTGAAATTCGTCTTCATTTGAGCAGTGGTTGCGTGCTCTATCATGTAGTAGTTTGATGACACCTTTTTAACAGATTCAATTGTCAATGAATAAATACATACATTAGAAAAGTCAGTAATAAATATTTCGTTAGGAACTATTACAAATTGTTTTGCCTACTAAAATAATTCAAATTTTTCTTTCGATGAAGGTGATGCTACAGCGAAACATGTTAAGTTGACTATATTCTGGGGAAATTGAAAAAGCAGTGTTGTATTTTTATTTTTTGTTTTATTATTGAACATAAACGTCCATTAAGTAACTGTAAATTCCATAAATAGTTTTAAATTAAAATTAATGTCTTTTCTGCTTCAAAAGGAAATCATTTGAAAAAGGTAAGTGATCATATTCCAATTGATTTTCCCTCTTTAACCTTAAACAAGAAAAAAAGAACTCGTAAATTTAATGATTACTGTGACGTGGTTATTTGTTACTCCTTTCTCTTTCAATTTCATTCTCATTTCGGATTTCGATTAGCTTTGAAAAAGATCTACAAAAATAACTACTTTTACTACATTTGGCCATAGTATTGTTTGATTATTAAAATGACAATTATTATTTACAAAGCTCAACAGGCCTTGAAGGCCTAGGGCTAAAATACAGTTAATGCAATTACAATTTAAATTAATTACTATTTAAATAGGAATAAGCCACAATTAAAGGTTAAAGTAAGTTTATTCACGTTTCAATTTTTACTTCGGAAATCATTTTAATGTTTGTGTTTTGAGAACGAATTCCGAAGTGGAAATTGAAACGTCAATAGACATACTTTAACCTTTAATTGTTGCTTATTTCCATTTAAATAGTAATTTATATATTACAAAACTTGCATTAACTGTTTCTGGTCCAACCATGCTCCTTGCCTACTAAATGGCTTACTATTCTTCTCCATTTATCTCTATTTGTTGCCCTTTCTTCTCAACCATCAATTCCCTCTTTCCTGACATCTTCCTGTACGCTATCAAACCGTCTTTGTTTGAGTCGTCCTTTCCTTCTTTTCGTGATTGGGCCCAGTTCAATCATCTTTGGCATCCTCTTCCTTTCCATTTTCCTCACGTGTCCCATCCATCTAACTCTTTGTGCTTTTATAAAGCGACCGATGCTTGGTTCGTTATACAGTTTCTTTAGCTCCCTGCTTGTTCGTCACACCCAACCCTCCGCCGAGCTTTTGCCTCCGTTTATAGCTCTGAGAATTTTTCTTTTCTGTCTTTCCCCTTTCTCCGTATTTGCTTTTTTTTATTGTTCATACTTCACTACCATACGCCACTGTGGGTCTTATTACTGTTTTATATATCCTTATCTTTGTTTTTTTCGATATATATTTTGATTTCATCAGTGGTCTTAGGCTTGTTATCTTTTTATTTCCCTTTGGCAATCTGGCATTCGGTTCTCATTCTTCCTGACCTTTCTGTTCTATAATAAACCCCAGATAAGTAAAATGGGCCACTATTCCCTTGATTCATTAGATCGGAAAGTAAACTGCCCCTCTTCTTTTAGCTATGTATTTCCGAGTATCATGTACATTGACCTTTTCTGGTTTAATTCTATGTCAAAATCTGTTGTCTGCTTTTTTAATCTGTTTAAAATAGTTTGTAATTATTTTCTTGTTTTCGTTAGAATAATAAGATCAGCGAAGGCCACACATTGATGTTCATGTTCAAATGACGATTACTCAAGAAATATAGTCAAGTTTAGACCTTTGATCAATAAACTGGTTTAAATGCTTTATTCTATAATTCTTTCTAGACCTTTCTATTTTCTATATTTTTAGTTTAGATGGAAAGGAAGTTTAGATGATGGTCGTATTAAAAAAGATTAGCTAAATTTAAAATTATTCTGACTTATTGTTCCATTATGCATTAACTGTATTACTATATAACTTCTCTTGTATTATTATTTGGAGAATGTGATATCTCTTTTCCTCATAACCATGCCTCTGAAATCTATAAATGTCACATGATTCTGTAAGAGCCCATTCCCCAACTATAGAGCAATATTGAAAACACATATAAGCAAAGGACTAGCATGTGAATGCGTTTTCATCCCAATCCCCATAACAATAATATTCGAAAACACAAACTACACAATATTGTTTTCAGAAGATGAGAACGTCTGCTTTAAATGTAAGAAACCAGGACACATGACAGCAGCTTGCATCGAACATACAAATATATTTGCAGTACAATAAACTCCACTATCTACAACTTCTAATACTATAACTATAGGTGATTTATCTGTACAAACTGCAACAACAACGTTTTCTATGCAACATTTTTTCCCTTGTCAGTGCGACTAACCAACCTGAAATCTGACTATCTAGCAAGCTTTATTTCCATCATCACATCAAAACAAAATTTCACAACCTACTGAGTCAGAATTACCTAACGTAAATACAGAAGTAGCTAAAAACAAAGAAACGCATTCAAAACGCTTTATAAATTAAATCATCTCTCCAGAAACTGACACTTTATTTCAAGAAAGCACATTTGTAATAAAAAAATCCACAAGAACTCTAAAAAAGCCAAAGACAACTAAACTTGTAGAAATGTATTCGGATGTTTCCATGATATAATTAACCAAAACCTTTATCAATAATCACGAAGCACCATTTGCACTGGGCAGTGATCAATTAGCTCTCTTACTAAATAACACTGCCGCCTTATCTAATCCCATAAATAAGGATTTCACTTCTGATTTGCTACGTCTCACTCACATGTTAAAACAAAACTACAGATTATCATTGCCGAAAACTGTCCAGACATAATCTTTCTACAATGGACCAATTTAAAATTCCAACAGAAATACAGTCCTAAATAAGACACTTGCTTCCGTGAAGACAGGATATTTTTTAATCATACTAGTTCAAGTGTTTTCACAGCTGAATTGTTTGCTATCTTCTTGCAATATATCATCTGTATCCCAAACATCCTTTAGAGAAGCTAATAAACTAAACTACAAATAGGCCAAGAGAACAACATAACTCCTAAATTTATATGGATTCTATGAAATGTATTGGTTAGTGGCAGCTCGAATGGTTTCTGTCGCAATATAAAACTAAGATCGCTAAAACCAGATACACGACAGTGGAAAACTAGTGCTAGTACACGGTGTATTCAAACGGTTTTAACGCGCCTACGTGTAGGACCCACTAAAATCACACACTTTGCCTACTTTCGGGCAGTGAACGCCCCTTGTGCGATTTATGTTCTACGCCGCTTACTGGCATCCATTTGTTAATTTAGTGTTAAAAATACCAAAGAGAACGTTCAATAAACAATATACCAACCACTCTACCAGCTCTATTAGGAGAAAAGTTATTATATTGCGTAAGATTATTCAGTGTGTTTTACCAAATCTAAAATTATTGTTAAGCTTTGTTACTGAGTAACGCCGCTAATAATATGTTGGAGGATGAGGCAACTATGCTTAAAAAAACTGAAGGCTCTTCTGACATTTTCTATTATGCAACGACAGCTGTCATTCTGATATTGTCAAATCTCGGAATTTCTAGTATTAATCACCCTCTTTCATAATAGTACTGTCTTTTTTAATCAATATATTATTGTAGATGGACAAGACGTAATCGTTTTAGGTTATGTGTAAAAAAGAGCTAATATAAACAATGATTTGTGAATTATGTCATACACGCTCAAAAATTCGCAGGACGAGCTATATTTTTGTCTAAATTATTATCTTTGTTGAAATTAGTTTTGTAATGTATTTAATTGTATTTATTATTTTTTAGATGTTTAAAAAACATTTGGAAGAAATGCCGGAACAAGAAGCCCTACTAAACAACACAGAGTTGAATCTCATATTCGGAAAACTTCCTTTCATCTACGAAACCCACATCAAGATGTTAGACGAGATACGATGGACTGCTGCGCATTGGAGTGAAGATCTATCTATCGGCAATATAGTCGTGAAATACTCCTCGGAACTACAGAGGGCCTATCCTCCTTTCATAAACTATTTCGAAGAAATGAAGGAAGTGTTGTGCCAGTGCGATCAAAATAAACCTAGGTTTCACGCTTTTTTGAAGGCGTGTCAAACTAGAGCGGAGTGCGGTAGACAGAGTTTGCAAGAGCTGATGATTAGGCCTGTACAGAGACTCGGTAGTATTAGTTTATTATTAAATGGTAAGTGTGTGTCATAATTTTTAGTTTGGTATTTGATGGACGGGGGAAATACCATGTTCAATGTTCAGTTCCTTCGCTGCATATGTTTTATAACTTCTCTTATTTTACCGTTACATGTTTTCTGTTGCAGACATTCTAAAAAATACTCCAAAGACAAATCCTGATCATTCTGCATTAGAACAAGCATTAGCAGTTTTAAGGGAGGTGATGACTCACATAAATGAAGACAAAAGAAAAGCTGAAGGCCAAGTTACTTTATTTAATATTTTTAACGATATAGATAATTGTCCGGTAAGTGAAAATGATCAAAGTCAATCAAAAACAGAGAGATGTAGTAATCGCTAGCTAGAAAGAACCAACGCCGTGCACCTTTAATATTTTTGAATGTTGCCTAGAAGCCCTTGATGCCTGATATTTAACGGTCTCGTATGCTTGTTCTTTCTAGCTGCCGAGAACTATGGAATTTTGTGTTTTCGCAACAGACATTCGCAACAGGTCCAACTGACACTACTATAGGAAATCAACTGATGAAATATGACATACATTATTTTAACTAGATTTCATAAAACAGATCTCACACTTAAACCTGTCTATAATACTTAGGGTGTTAGTTTGAGAGCAACTGAGGTGGCCATAAAGTATGATTGACTACAATAAAAGGGTCTATCAGGAACTATCAATACTGTAGAAAAGAAGAAATCTGAATATGAAATTAAAATACTAAAAATTAAAAAACCAAAATTGAAAGCAGTGTATAAATGGGGTATAATTCAAGTAGTTCAGTTAAAACCCCAGTCAATGGGAGAACTAAAATTAATATGTAAAAGCGTTACTCAAGACCAACTGACCAACAGTGGGAGATGTTGAAATATACAACTGGAGGTGGTATATCTAAATTACGCAGAGGTATGGAGAGTGTAATTAACGCCAACTATAGATCAATTGAACCTGAGCAAGCTAGTTTTGTAAATGGTTGAAGAATAAAATAGTAATGTTGATCAAAGTATGAAATTAATAAATTCTTAATGGGTATACTCAGTGCAGGAAGTCTAAACAGCCGAGCTAGGTCCACTACGAGGTGAAGCTGGAATAAAGTTTTTAAAAATAGGTTTAAATTTAGTACAATTTAAATTAATTTGAGTATTAAGACAGTGAGAGTTTCCATTTATTTCCCTTATGATCTCCAAATCTTCCAATAAATCCAACTACAAATAGTTTTTCTTTCTACTAATATCATGTAAAATAGACGAACCAGTATTGATGTTAAAATTGTGTTTACTAGATAATAAGTGTTAACCAAAACTTGAAGAGTTTGGTCTTTTCAAATGTTCTGAAATTCTAGTAGATAACTTTCTAATGGTTCTACCTACATAAGAGGCGTCAAAATCATCACACTTTAGAAAATACAAATATGGCTGCAAAAATGAAAAATCAAAATTAATTAAACGAAATATGTGCAAGTTTACCATGTACCTTTACCATGAGGAAATTTAAGCGCCCGCCAGTGTACCTGAACAAAATACAAATACCACAACCCACAAACACGAAACAGATAGATGACTAACCTGAAAAGAACAAATAATCAAACAACGCAAACGAATTTATTTAAAAGTAAAAGATATTTACTGGCTAATCAGATGAAAGTCAAAATTATCATTAGAAAGGAAACTTTTTATTTATAAAACAATCATAAATCCCATCTGCACATATGGCGTGGAAATATGACGATGCGCAAGCAAGTCGAACATGTCTAATACCTATACAAAGAAGTCAATCACAAATTCTTCGCGTAATAACAGATGCACCATAGTATGTCTCCAATCAAACACTATCAAAGATCTAAAAATAGGTTATATTAATGACGTCACACAAAAATAAAACACAATACACCATAATAAATTTGAAACCCATACCAATTTGTTAGTTTATCCATTACTATAGAGCCCTGTACCAAAAGACTCACAATCACTTTTAAATTTAATTTCTTACAGCATCTTTCATGATAGTAAAGAAGAGTTTTGAGCCTTCGAAAATTCCTTGTTTGTCCCAGTTTTTATTTGTGTATTGAGTTCTTTACCACCTGACTCGTTCAAGATATTTATTTATTTTCTTAAGATATATTTAGTAATTGTGGAAATTAAGATTGAAGAACACGCTGGTTATGACTATAGTTCAGCAGGTTTTGATGAAAAGTGTTTTAAAATAATTATAAAAATAAAGTATCAGAATAAAAATTAATTTTTAACTTAACAAGTTAATTTAGATTGTGAGTACTTGTTCAATTCCAACATATAGTCAGTATGAACGCACATCAGCATCTATATCATCGTTTAATTTATATAACTATCTACACTGAGCGGCAAAAAAGGGGCCACGCTATAAATTTCCGAAAATAAAAATTCATTTGAAGTTTTATGCACTGTTTCATATTGCATCTTTAATTAAATATTTTTTGCGATCTTGTATGCTTGTTTTTGATAGTTTCGACGTTTATGGTTCCGGTCGTAGACGAGTTACCTCGCAAAGAGATAATCGTTTTATCATAATGGAACTTTTAAGAAATCTCCATTCCACTGCAATTGCTGAAGAAACCGTCTGCAGGAGATTCAAAATGGGAATGTAAGTGAGAAAACGGTTAAAAGAGGCCTCAATGAAAGTGGGCTAGTGGCAAGAAGGCAGGCTATTGTTCCCGAACAACAACCCAGACACTGTAGGAATCGATTAATTTTTTCTCGACAACATCAACACTAGGATATACAGGATTAGAGATGAATTCCTTTCCTGATGAATCGTAGTTCTGTTTGAAGTCTGGCGATGGCCGAGAGAGGGTTTGGACATGGAGAAATGCAAGATATGCCCAAGCTTGTAGGTCCCAGAAAAGAAAGTTTGGCGGGGGTCGTGTCATGGTTTGGGCTGGAATCTCACTTGAAGCTCGAACTGAACTTATTTTCATTAATAGCCCTCTGAATGTTCACTAGTATATAGAGGATGTTTTGGCAGAAGCAGTAGTTCCATTTGTTTTTTTTATTGGGAACAATTTTATCTTTATGCATGAAATAAAGAAAACAGATCGTTTCGTTGTGCCATGATCGTTATGCATGACAATGCACGGCCGCAATCCTGACGTATTACTTGGGGAAAGTTGGAATTAAGACTCTAGAACGGCCAGCCTGCAGCCCCGATCTGAATATCATCGAACGTCTTTAAGATGAACTTCATTGTAGGGTTATAAGTTAACCAGGCCAGCCAGAAAGTCTTACAGAACTTCAAAACATGCTCCGTGAAGAATATGAACGTATCCCTTAAGTTGGAATTCAAAATTTGTTCCTTTCCCTTCCAAATCGTATGCAAACGGTTATTGATGTTTTAGGGCTTAACACCCGATATTAGACAATTTTGTTAAAGTTCACTAGTAAGTTTTATTTTTTGTAATTCGTTTCGATATCACACTATTTTCTTTCGTAACCTTCTAATTACGCTAAGAAATCAAACAATAATGACCATTGTTTGTTTTAAAAATAAAAGATGTTGAGAATACAATATGAAACAGTGTAAAAAACTTCTAGTGAATTTGTATTTTCAGAAATTTATAGGGTGCCCACTTTTTTTGCCGGACAGTGTAATATTCTTGATCTTTTAAATACATTTAACACAGTTATGCACGAATAGTACCAAAAAATTAAATTTGATTTTATACATTTTAGCCCGATATTGTATCGTCACATCGAAATTTTGTTGCCAAGGCCGAAGTAGTTCAGTTATCATCTTCCGAAGGTCTGGCTAGTAAAGGAAACAACTTAGTACTTTTTCTCTTCTCCGATCAGTTGGAGGTGTGTAAGAAGAAATCAAAAGCCTTTAATAGTTTAAAGAGCCCATCAACAGTAACAACGGCAGGAGGTTAGTAGTTTTCATTTATGACGTGGATGTAAAAATAAAGTCATACGAAATAGACCTGCAAATAATTAATTATTTAATTAAAGAATGTGAAGAGTGAAGAAATAATTGATGTGCTTCTGTAATTTGTTAAATTCCAATTATCTATGCTCGTCAGGGTTTTTTTTTTGTCTAATAGAGTGTAGTAGGTACTACATTTTTGTTAATATTTTATTGATTTAATAAACAGCATCTTTTCTTTGGCAAATAATTCCGCAATAAGACACCGACCGAATATTTCATTTTCATTATCACAACAAGAGTAATTAATACTAAATTATGTTTTATTTTCATTTAAACAGCGCCCAATAAATCGCTTTACAATTTTATAGGTATATTTTTATTCTTAGACTCATCCCTAGTTTCAAACGTCGTCACTTCACCAAGTTTTTACTCGTAAGCTGTTTATCTCTGTTTCTTCCAAACTCCAGAGTAGGTGTGATCATTTTCGTATAATTCTCGTCTTGCCTTGTTCTGCAATGTTCTGTGAATTCTTACACATATATACTAATAAAACCTGTTAATTCTGTGGCCAATGTCTCAATATTTCTCAAAACTTTTGTAACACTTAAGTATAATTGCAATGACTCAATGACCTAAAACGTCTATTTTCGTAATATTATTATTTTCTTGTTATTGTGATATTAAAAATCTCCCAAAGTACATACAGTTTGTATTTCCCTTATGAAAATTTCATCAATACTAAAAAGTATTGTCTTATTGTGAATTTTGATTAACCTACACCTGTCTGAATTGTTTTTTCCGACTCTTTTATGGCGCTCTCTATTAAGAATTCTAAGGACTTGAGCTATAAAATATATTTTTGTATTTATTTCTATTTTACTGTGATTTAGCAGCTTAGAAAGTTTATATATACTAAAAAAGAAATTAGTAGTTACACGAAAACACTTCAAATTAAGCCTTACGTTTAGTACTCGGCAGTATGATTCTTTGGAGCAAGAACTGTTTGGCTCCCTCTTGGCATACTTTTTTTGCATATCTGGCAGTTTTGTTAAATTGTTTTACTCATGTGCCATACATTTATTAAGCGCTCGATCAGCCAACTATGATTATAATTTTATTACATATTTTTTTCTTTATAGCTTCCAAAGATTTTATATTGGATTCCAGTCTGGCGAATTGCCAGGCCAGTCGAGTACCTTTATCTGGTTGGCAGCGAAATTAACAGTTGTTGTTTGTAACATAAGCGTGAAAATCTTATTCGGGAACCACTCCTGGACCTGGGAAGCATTTTGTTTGCCGTACTCTCAAGTACTGGTCCTTCGCATTGTTTCTTTGATAATGTAGAGTCTACAAGTCTAGAGTGTTTTACCGTCCTTACAATTCAATCTTTTTTGTATTTTTCTCCATGTCTTTTCACAAATTCAGCTCTATCCATGAGGATCTGCACGGTAGATTCGACCGAAAAACAAACCTGGAATATTATTATTTTAAAATTCTGGAAAAATTGATCAATTGTAAACTGCGTAAAAGAAAAACAATGTTAAGTATTATTATTTACCTGCTCTCAATTGTCAATGGTCCCTATACTTTATCTAATTTACATACCGTTGCACGTTATTATTATTGACGGAGATCGAAGTTAACATCGTTGCCAAAGTATAAAAAAATCCTGACTCCATTTGAAATCATATAGGTCACATAATTATTGCAAAAGTATTACCATATCTTTACAACGACTATTTAAATTCTTACATGACATTTTTGAAATAAAACACATTAATTTTGTTCTAAAAATAACAGATTTTATTAAATAGGCAAAAATATAAAACAAGAGGTATTCACTTTAAAATTCAAAATAATAAAGTACAAAAGGTGTCAACACCGAAACTGTCAAATAAGTGTTACCAATTTATGCCAAAATATCACCTTCGTTTGATTACAGTTACAGTGTTTTCCGAACAACTGTTCTTCATAAAAACGCTTTATAATGCATTTATACAAATTAAATGAAACATATTATTGTGTATTTCTTTAAGTTAACATTAATAAAAATCTTTAAATATTATTTCTACGCGTATATAATAAAATATGTCTAGTGACTGTAATGTCAGTGTACTCGGCAAAGTGATTCTAAAAAAGAACACACCTACTGCCTAAATATTTCGTGTTGGTATCAGATGACCTCACGGACTATGACGCGGATGACGTACAACGGTAAGTAAATTAGATGAAGCATACGTGAGTTTTTGCCCATTAAAGACTTTTTTTTTTCAAGGCTGGTGTGAGCAGCTTCGTTTTTGCAGGGCCATAGGTTGAAAATTCCAGATCCCTTATTAGCTGACGAGTTGTCTTTGTTTAATTATTATCTGTTAACAAAACGGTGAATTTTTTTCGTTCTTGTATTTTTTTCATTACATTTTTGTTTGTTCCGTGGGACCACATCCAACTTTCATCATTTTTTCCTTATGCTGTCCACAGTTGGCTTTGAAACCTTAGAAATTGATGGTATACTATGAAAAAATTTGTGAGAACGTCTTTTTTTAATAGTAATTTTCAGTTTATTAAACATAGGAAAAGTTTCTCGAACTTTTCCTTTATTTTCTTTTTCAATTTGGAACTAGCTAGGAATTGATTTATGGTCACATAAAATCAAAATTTCTATTGATCAAATATAATTTTTATCTATACTATACAATCTCTTAACTACTTCTTTTTCATTTTTAGTTGGTGGATCTTTGCAAAATAGGCAGCTTATTAAACCGTACAAACACATAAGGCTAATGGCTCTTAATACTATTAAACGAGTAATAGACATTAAAGAGACGGAAGAATGTCAGAAGGTGTTTAGTTTAGTTTGTAGGAATAACGATGATCTAAAAGAAAAACTTTATTCGTTTGCGATGGCGGACGAAGAGGCTGACAAAGTTCAGTTTTTAAAAACGTTAACGCGACAGATGGCGAACAATGCGTGTACAGCAGATGCGGTAAGTTGATAAATAAATGAAAAATATAATATTTATTTACTCACCAATGTAGGAAAAACTTCTTTATAATTTTCTGTAGTTTGGTTTCGAACAAATGCACTTTAAAAACTTGTAGACTTCAAAGGGGTCATTTGATCTCACTGCGACTTCAACGACCTTTTGTCTATGTTATAAAAATTTGATTTTATAAAGTTGAGAATTATCACGAATTATCCAGCACATTTTTCAAGTAGTTCTGGCAACAAGAACAAATTTATGTATAATTAGATGTACTTGCAGTGTTTAGGACTTAGACAAGGAAATAGAGGGGACGCGTAATTGTATGGAATGGACTGAAGCCAAACCGACATCAGAAAGGTTGCCAGGTCATATTTTATTTCTTCAGTAGATTGAGAATACTGCATATAAATATCAATAGATTTTTTTCAACATTTGTAATTGAACACTGACATAAATTGAAGTTGAAATCAGTAGATCTACTGAAAAACCAGTAGACCTGGCAACCCTGCGACAGGTAGTAATGGGCAACGTACAGGCACCAAAATATGGCAGTCATGGCGAAGATTAATAAATGAACGTTACCTGTCCTCTCTCGTTCGTTGTCTAAGGTTTAGGATATGTGGTGCTTTACATTTTGTCTAGAATCCTGACCTATTCTATTTCTTTATAATAAGTAATTACAGGCGGTTTCAAAAATCTTAATGATAATTTTCTGCCTGGTAATTACAAAAAGTGGTACTGTAGACTAGGGCAAAAGTTGGTACTATGTCTTCTGTATCTTTAAATTTTAAGTTATGTTTTTAAAATTGAATAAAGTAGTTTTGACATTTATTTGATATTTTTTGTATTTACTATTTCAATTGTCGCTTCAAAAGTATAATATTTAAGAATTGCTTAGTTAGTTAATACAGTAAAACATCCAGTTTCGGATAACAAGAATTTCGTTTAAAAATAACATTGTTTTTTGTATTCTTCTTGTATGAAATTACATAGTATTCTTGGTCAAAGTTGGTATTAAAAAATACTATGAGATGATTTCATAATGTTTTCTAAAAGTAAATACAGAATAAAGTAATAAAAGTAAGAAAAATGAACAAATTTAACATGTTCTTTCAAAGAAATTTTCTATTTTCTTTTGCATTTTCCTTTGACAATCCATCATTTCATTTGCAGAACGTCATGTGGTTTTGTCTCATTCGATTGTTCGGCGAAACGTAAAGCAATCAAAGGATAAAACTTTATGCAATGACAAAAATTAAGAACCTAGTCGTGCCCCTAACTAAACTGTATAACATTCTTACCTCTAAGGCATTGAAAATTTCGTCGGCGGTCTCGTGCTGCCTGTTGTTGTTGGGTCGTCATCTGATACGCTCAGGTTGTCTGGATAAAGAACCATATCAATGATGTCCTGGTCGATGAACTCACTTTCTGGTAACCCATCGACTGCTAACCCACTCACGTATTTCTTCTTGGTTAATTTCGTCACATCCTGGCAAATTTTTTATTAAAGGTTCAATTTCTTCTGTCATTTCTTCAACATTTTCTTCTTCAGGATCGTCAATCAAAATCCCATCAAAAAGTTTGTTCCAGCATTTTTCCAAAGTTGAAGATTTGATCTTGGCCCACGGCTCAGCACACCAATAAACAACATGTTTCATTGTTAATGATTTGATAATTTCGGAAACACTTTTGGATTCATTCGTCCCCTGTAAGAACAGATGCCTTAAGAATGCTCATCTATAATGTCTCTTGAATGTCTCTATTACTCCCTGGTCTAACGGCTGAATTAAGCTTGTGACATTCGGTGGCAAAAATCTGACAATTGTGTCACCATTTTGTAGATTTTGGGGGTAAGTTGGCGCATTGTCAACAAGCAACAATGCTTTGATGGGAAGATTTTTTGATTTTAAAAAGCATTTTACACTCGGGACGAATTCATTTTCGAACCTTTCTGAAAAAAAAAGTGGTCGATATCCATCAGCTTTTGGCTTCTATAAAAAACTTGCTTTTCGGAAAAGTGCTTTTCGGAGATATATTTAGAGCTCTTGGTTTTTTTATTTTTCAATACACATAAGCCTCAATCGGTGAGTTCCTGCTGCATTGCTACAAAATAGAACGGTTATTCGTTCTTTATTCATTTTTAGGCCCGGTGCACTGTGTTCATGTTTTGATGAAAGTGATTTTTTGGGCAGCATTTTTAAATTTAATCCAGTATCATCGGCGTTGTAAATTTGATCTTTTGTGTAGTTCGCCAATATCTCATCCATTTCAGTTTTAAAAATGTTTACTGCATCGTGGTCAGCAGATAGCTTTTCTCCACATAAATTAACTTGACGAATAGCGTACCTATTTTTCCCATTTGTATAGCCAACCTCAACTTGCTTTAAATCTTCACCTTCATCGCCCATCATCTCGGATAACATTTTTGCCTTCTCTTAAATTATTGGTCCAGATCATGCTATTCCTTTGGATTTTGTTGTGTGATCCACAAATAGACCGCTTTGTTATTCATATTCCTCAAATTTGCTTTTCATTTTTTTTAACCCATTCGGAAACTGTAGAAACGCCAACGCCAAAATCTGCTGCAACTGTCCATAAAATCTGTCCATTTTGAATCCTACGGATAGCCTCGGAATTTCTGTTCAATCGCAATAACAACACGTTTTCGTTTGTTTGACATTTTCACACAACAGGTGATTTAATGAAATTAAGATTATTTTATTTTTTTTATATCATAAAAAAATAAAATAACACACAAACAAATACGGTACCAAACAGGGGCGGATCCAGAAAATTGTCTTGGGGGGGGGGCACAAGGTTCAAACTTAGAATAAGGAATATTATGTATTACAGTGAGATTTGTGAATTGCGATGACTTAATACATAATGCTGTTTTTTTTTTAATAAATGAACTTATTTATACGAAAATATGCAGTTGTATTCAAAATTATTTGTTTGCCTTTTATTAGGAACTTTAGAATTATCAATATAGAATATTACCATTTTAATTCAAAAATACTGGTCAGAATACTTCGCCCTGTTAGCCGTTACCATGAATTTAAGATCTACAAAATGTTGTTTATATGATAAAAATACACAACACATAAGTATAAGTATACTGTATTTCAATATAGGTAAAAACATAAAGAAAATTACTTTTTATTCGACCATCTTCTCATAAAACCTTGAGAGACAGCTTTCGCTTGTGCTTCCTCGCGTACACGTCCAAGACTTCTTCGGCTTTCAATTCACTGGATAAGTCTTGGTGAACATGGAGTAATGCCAGTCCATTAAGCCTCTCTTCCGTCATGGTCGTTCGCAGGTATGTCTTCATACGACGCAAAGCAGAAAAGGTTCACTCAGCTGTACTTGTCGTCACAGGAAGAGTGCACAGCAGCTGCAGTAAAACTTGTACATTTTGCAGTGGTTCGGCCAACTTGTATGCCTGTGCAGGATGTTTTGGCATTTCTTTTGCAGAATTGGACCACATGTGTTTCCAAATTTGTAGCTCACCTTTCAGAGCAGAGAAGCACGGCAAATCATGTTCATATTTACGAGCTCCTTGAAGAATATCACTTATTTGACCATCACTGAGATCTGGTGAGAGAAGATGTTGTAGCTTACCTACACATTCCATTTCATTTTTGGGAAATCTTGCCATCAGTTCATTGATTACAAAATCCAGAAATGGGATGTAAATTGTCATCCTATAATATTCTTCAACCGTTTCAGCCTGGACATTTGCTCGGTTTTTTTGAAGGGATGTTGTCCTGGGCTTCTGAATATCTGTACCCATTTCTTCCGCCAGCTTAGTTGATTGAGTGAATAACTCCTTGAATGTGTCGGTGCTGTTGTTTCTCCTTTCCTGTAGGCTTTTTGTAGTGACTTCTACAAGCTCAGTTGCTTTAAGTACGTCCATGTACTCAGCTTGAAGTTTACGTGCTAGTGGTAAGGTTATTCCAAGGACCTCAGCTAACACTACCACACTGACCAAAAACTCGGATGAGAGGATAGAGTGCATGAAAGCAAATGCATTGCTTCCCTTGCCTTGAGGAGAATTAGCAATTCTTTCTAGAGCAGCAGGGAGTGTAGGAAGGTGTTCCACAAAAGTCAGAACAGCATCGTGTCTTTCAATCCACCTTGTTTCACAGAGTTTTTTCAGACCATGAGTTCCTGGTTTCAGGTTGTGATTCTCCCTTACTTCGTTTTCCAAAATTTTAAATCTTGCTGGAGAATCACGGAAGAAAACTGCTACGGAAGATATAACTCCCATTGTATTCCTAATGCTAGCAATAGAGCAAGCTTTACTAATTGCCAGATTCAATCTGTGATTGGCACAGTGAGTGTACATTGCCAGAGGCTGGATCTGGGAAATTCGGGCTTGTACGCCTTTGAAAACCCCACTCATGTTGGACGACCCGTCAAAAGCTTGACCACGGCAGTTAGCTAAATCAACATTAAGTTTTTTCAGTTCTTGAACAATAGTGTTTGCTAGGTTCTCTCCAGTTAGATCAATAACATCAACGAACTTGATAAAATCTTCTTCAATGTTGCATTTCTTAGTGTCGAAATATCTAATGCAGATGGTTAGCTGTTCTTTAAGCGACAAATCTGTCGTTTCGTCTGCCATAATAGTAAAAAACTTTGATTCTTTTATTTTAGATATGATCGTGTCAGTGATCACATCACCACAACATTCAATTATCTCATTCTGAGTTGTTTTGCTTATGTAACTAGCATTCTTTCCACAAAATTTTAAATGAGAGCCTAGAACCTTATCCCCTGCATCAACTCTGAATTGCAGTAGTGCCCGAAAATTACCTTCCCCGAAGCAGCTCTCAGTGTTTAGATCAATTATACCATCATCTCTGTGGCCACGAAGTGGTATATTTTGTGCCCCACATAAAATAACTGTCTTAATAATGGGAATCAGCTTTTTGCGGTTCTCTTCGATCGTTTTTCTTTCTGCTGTATTCATACAAGCTACTACATTGCTAATCTTTCCTTCATGAATCAAACAAAAGTTATGATATGCAACCACATTTCGGCTGTGGTATTCAGTATTTGCATGACTCTTCAGCAATTCGGTGGCCTTTTTATAAGAAGTCATTGGTTCAACAACCAACTTCCCCAATTTAACATCATTATTCCCACCTTCTCTACGACCAAACATAACACAGTACTTGCATAGACCACCATGTAATTGCTTGCTGTAAACTAGCCATTCATGTGTTTTTAACCAGCTTTGCTGAAAAGAGCGGTTTTTCTTGCCTTCAGAAACCATTGGGAATATGAAACTTTGACATGGCACCCAAGGGTTTTTTATCCATTGATATTTCTCTTCATCTGTTAGAAGTGATGGTGTGATATCTCCATTTTTAAGAAGACGACCAAAATCGCGAACAGATAAGTTAGAAGAGCTGACTCCTAATCCTGATGCAGAGCAATCTGTTCCTGATTCCTTATCCCCAAATACATGAGCTTCTTTAACAGGTATGTTACTGTTAGCTGTTATTTGATTTCCTGGTTGAGAATCTGCATGGTCCACCTGAAAATAATGAAAATACAATAAACATTACATGAACATTTAGCATACTCACAAGATCACAAGATTGGCATTTTTTTAATAAAAACTTAATATTCTCAGTTATTTGTAATCTGATCTTAGTAATCTTTTTTATTTGCTTAGAAAATACGCAAATCTTTGCTTAATGTCCTTAAGATATTAAGCTTCAACAACAACAAATGGTCGCCATTTTATAATAGTACAAATTAGAAAATAGAAACAGCTTTTAGTGCAAACTACAAACTTTTAAAATAAAAAAATAGTATATTTTTAACAGTAAGCCAATGCAATGAAGGCAGTGTTAACTAAAACTAAATGAATATGTTTATCGAACTTACCTTAGGTTTTTTAGAAAAGAAGGAGTCAAGGCCTAGTTGTCTTTTATTCCCTCCACTAGAACTCATTTTATACAACACAACACTGACATAAAACGAGTAACAACGAGAAAATCTTAGTTTTTATTGTTCTTTAGAGTTTTCAGTTACGGCACGTAGCAAACACGTTTATAAACACTGATCACAACACTGTCGCAGTGTCGTCTATCGTCACGATATATACTCAACAAACTCAACCAGGGATAGGATCTAGCGCATCGGTCCATCGGTGGGCGGAGCCATTTTAAATAAGTGGTCGCGCTGTACGACAATTCAAATCAGCTGACCGGGCATTTAAAAAAAATTACTCACTGCACTAAGAACTATTATTTCAAATTAATTTATTTCACAAATTTTGAATTTTCTTTTAAATTTTTGAACGTGTCTAAAAATTTAAAAAAACAATCTTCTTTTTGTTTTTAAATTTCCTAATTACCGAGAATTCCTCAGAAATCCAAATTACCGACTACCCATTTCCGGGAAATCAAAAGAAGCCGGGAAAATGGAGCTCTAACTGTAAGAGATAGTCGGTTAAATGAGAAAAAAATTGCGTAGGACTTCGTAAGTCTTAGGTTTTCACCCAAAGTGATCGAAAGTAGAACCGCAAGTCTATATTTGAACTCTTCGTGTAACTTTGCGTCGATTGATATATGATTTCACTAATTTTGAGTAATTTTTACTAAACTTTCGCTCATAATTGTTTAAATGCAAATAACTTAAAAACCGGAACTAAAGATTCAAGCTCGACTTCTCAATACGCCTCGAATGATATGTCACATGTATTATTTCTGCGACTATAATATAGCACTTCCGATTAGAACTTTTTAACCAAAAGTATACATTTGTTCTCATCTTGCTCCGGCACGTCGAATAATATATCGCTTATACTATTTCGGTGGCTTTTAAATGGTACTTCTTTTTATAACACTAAAACCGGAAGTCCGATGTCAAATTTCTAATCTTTATTACCATCCTTGGGTTATAATCAATTCTATGAGCAGATATTTTGACTGTAGAACAGAATATATTATTTTATTTTATGTAATAATATTATATTGTAATATAACCAAATAATTCATTTATGTTCCCGAAATAAATTATTTAAATCAGGTACAATATGTTTCATAAAAGAATTTTTGAACCTATTTTATCTAGTGTATTTTTATTTCGTCTGGGGGGGGGGCACGTGCCCCCGTGCCCCCCCTCTGGATCCGCCACTGGTACCAAAGAACAGACTTAAGAATGAGATACGGTCACCTGCACGAAATGTGTCATAACAGGGAGTCATCGATAACAAGAAATAAACAAACAACACGGCTGAGGCGATTTGCGCTGTCAAAGCGTTTTTAATATTTTATTTTAACATACATAGTACATATTATACAAACATATTAAATAACTGCAGTAATAAAAAACATGTGTTGATTATTTAATATTGCATTCTTTAGTTGTGTAAAAGCAATATTAACGATGTTGACAAATTAATGAAATTGCTTACGTTTTGCGATAAAAATTTACTTTTTATTGACTAAATTATTGAAACTCTCAGCCGTTTTGGTCAAAAAGGTTTCGGTTAAGGGAGGTTTTACTGTATCCTTGTTACCGATTTTAATAAAATTTAAAAAAGTTTACATGTTATGTAACGGACTCCCTCGTTGCGTAAATGTTTACAGCGCATCTTTCCTATGAAGCTTATTTCGTGACGGTACTTCCGTAACGCCGTGTCATGGCGCTACTTTCGTGACGCTGGTATCAGCATTTTAGTATAGTTTTCTCAGCCTCAGCTGAAGTTCGGCTGTAGATTTTTTATTGTCTCCGGTTTAAAACTTACGTTAAAAAAATATGACACCAGAAGAAGTAGCACAAGCTTTTGCTTTCGAGGATGATGGGCGGAGCATTCGATACATCGCAAATGCTTTATAAATTTTTCGAAGTACAGTGTTTGATGCAATACAAAGATTTCGGTGTACAGGATCATACACCAGAAGGCCAGATCAAGTTAGACGAAGAACCACGAGTCAAGTTGAAGATCGTTTTCTTAGGTTACAAGCGTTATGCGATCGTACATTATCACCACCAGTACTTGTTCAACGATTAAAAGATGTCCATAGAAACAGTTTCCGTTTATACCGTTCGAAGACGCTTAAATTAATATGGATTAAGGTCCAGAATACCTGTTACGGGTCCTCTATTAACAACAGATCATCGGAGACAACGTTTACACTTCGCTCGCTAACATCTTAATTGTGCCGTTGACGATTGGAGTGTTGTGCTTTTCATTGATGGATCAAGATTTAACAGATACTCATCAGATGGGCTGTCTAGGATATGGAGAAGAGTTGGTGGAAATTGTATAATGGTGTGGGCAGGCATTTCTATAGACGCTACAAAACTTGTTAATTTAAGAGGACAATTTGAACGCTCAATGCTATATTCAGCAATGTTTGGAAGATCATGTAGTGCCATTTGTTGGAGAAAACTTTCGTCTGATGCAAGATAATGCTCGTCCGCACATCGCAAAAATAACACGGGAGTACTTGGATGAAGTTGGCCATTTTTTACCATGGCTCCCAAAGAGTGCACACTTAAATCCAATAGAACATGCATGGGATATTTTGGAACAACGTATTCGACGTAACCATGGTGAGTTTAAAAATGATTTGAATCAAGCAGTTCATGACGAATGGGAGCAAATCCCTCAAGCAGACTTTGCTGCCTTAATCCGAAGTATGCCTGATCGAATGAGAGCCGTAATTAGGGCTCGTGGAGGTAATACACTCTACTCAATATCGTTTTCCATAAAAAATGTTTATATTAAAAATCTTTGCAGGTTTCCAAATTTTTTGAATTGTTTATTGTTTTTTTTTGGTAACATTCTTGAATTGTAATAAATTTGACTTCTTAAGTTTTGTTTTCTATCAAATACTCAATTAGAAACATTTTAAACTTTTTTAAACGCGAGTTTTTATAAAAAATCTGAGTGTCTGGTTAATTTTGCACCCCATGCTAATAACATTACTCTATTCAATTTTAAAAATATTATTTAAAATTAAAAGTACACAAAACATAGTATGAAGCTTTGCGCTAGTCTACAGTACCGCCAACTCTACCAAATTTTTGATCTATTGATCAGAGTTCTAGTTATACGATTAAACACCATTTCCATTTATGCTTTTAGGATAAATTTATGGCGTATTTGGAACCTCAACAACTAGATATCGATACCAGTGATGTTAATAACGGTACCTTTTCTAAAGCAATCAAGTTCGCGACGAATCGATTTAAGGTCGGTCGTGCTTTCTCATTCAACAAAACACCTTCGAAACTCAAAAGGGCGGTTTCATCGATGATGTCGCCGTTTGGCAGCTCAACGAATCTCACACCTGCTTCACAATTAGCTCAAATGAAACTGGCTAGCTATAGTAATATTAACGTAAGTATTGTATAAGTGCTTTTCAAAAAAATTATAAATATTCGATGTAAAGTTAGTAAAATATAACATTTTTATTATTTAATACTTAACAATATTTATTTAATTACAACTGTTAAGATATATTTGTCTCATGTGTATCATATCCGTATTTTCCGTCCCTAAAAACTTATTAAACACAACTTTGAAGCTAAAATTAAGGATATTAAAGAAAATTAGTGAAATGATAACATTAGGAGATCAGCGCGGATTCAGAAAAAGTCGATCTTGTATAGAGACAGTGATCATAGTTAGACAAGTAAATCAGAAATCATTGGAATATAATAAACCAGCATTTATATACCTTATCGATTTAACCAAAGCGTTTGACCGAGTACAAATACAAGATTTAATACATCTATTATAGAAGCATACCAGCAGACATTATTAATACAGTGGAAAATATTATACAAGAAAGTAATTGCAAAGCTTCTTCTTATCTTCTTTTTTTTATGTAGACATGGCTATGTTTGTTTTTCAATATGCCTCCAGTAAGTTGTTGTTCCATCATTTTCTTTTTCTTCCAACTGATCGTCTTCGTATTGGGGAACCGTCTCTTACCTTTACTACTCTATTTGTTGTCATTTGGCTTATATGATTGTTCCTTTTCTACTCTTGTTACTCAGTTCTTGATGTTCTCCACCTTGTATCTACGTCGTATATCTATACTTCTAGCTCTGTCCCATAGTGTCTTCCCATCAATTTTTCTGTTTTCTTCTCTGCTGTTTCTAACATTCTTTTTGTCCTCTCTGCGTCATGTCGTGTTTCTGCCGCATATTTCATTATTGGTCTTATGACTGTTTTGTAAATTCTGCCTTTCATTTCTTTTCCGACATTTTTATTTCTCCATATTATTTCATTCAGGTAGTCTGAGGCTCTGTTTTCTATATTTACTTGATCCTCCACTTCTGTTTCGAGCTTTCCGTAGCTTGATAATATGATGTCTAATTTCTGACTACTTTTTTTTACTATTTTATTCATAATCAGGTTGAACAATAGCGGACTTAGGAAATCTCCCTCTTTTATCCCATTGCCAGCTTCAATAGGGTCAGTTAGTTCTACTTTTACTTTTATTGTGTTATTTTGGTAGATTTTTTCGATCGTTTTGGTTATTCCTAAAGTTATCTCTCTAGTGTACAATAAGTGGATAACTTCCTTTAATTTGACCCGGTCAAATACCTTCTTAAGGTTCACGAAACATAGATATGCCAGTTTATTGTATTGTAATGATTTCTCGTGCACTTGTCTCATTATAAATATAGCGTTGGTGCATGATCTTCGCGACCTAAAACCTTGTTGTTCTGCTAGTGTTATCATTTTATTTAGTTTGTTATCACTTTGGTTATTATTTTTAGTGTTGTGTTTAATAAATTAATTCCTCTGTAGTTTTCCTGGTCCGATTTGTCTCCCTTTTTGAAAAGAAGTATTAGGATGCTTCTGTCCATTCTTGAGGAATTTTTTTTGTTCTATTATTTTTTGGATTAGTTTTAGTAGTTGTTTGGTCAGATCTGGTCCTCCGTACTTTTAGAGTTCGTTCTCCTCTCCTGGTAATTTTGTGTTTTTTAGTTTCCTAAATGCTTCATTTACCTCTTTCTCCTCAATATTTATTTCTTCGTTTGCGCCACCTCTGGTGTTGGCAGTTCATTATCGTCACCTTTAGCAAATAGGGATCGAAAGTAGTCTGCCCATGTTTCCTTCAGATTTTGTTTCGATTTTATTAGTTCGTTCATGTCTTTTCTTTGTCCTCAGATCATTCTCCATATTTATTTCTGTGTTCCGTAGTGTTACATCTGTTTTGAGAAGCTCTGCCAGTGCTACATTTTTGTCTAACTAAAGTATTTCTTTCATTTTTAATTCGTTTATAGTGCTTGTATACCTTTTGTGTTTGTTCTGTTCTGTATTTTAAAAGGGCTTTATTCTTTTCTTCACATTTTGTCTTCACTTTTTCTCTAAACCATGGGATTTCTTTTTTGATATGTTAGTGTTTGTTACTTTCCTTTTTTAATTATGTTACTTTTGAGTTTTTCCCAGCTTTCCTCGATGTTATCGTTTTTTAATATTTCATTCCCAGCATTTTTCTCTGATATTCTTTTTCTGTATAACTATTCTGTGGATTCCGTATTTAGTCCTTCGACTCTGATATTTGTGTTGGTGTCCCTCTCTTAGGTGTGAAGTATTTCAGAATGATTCTTATTTTACATAATACTAGACTATACTTCTCTTGTCCTTATTTTTTACCGTGGTAATTTTCATAGTATCAATCCTGTTCCGAGGCTGTACATTGTTTCTTTGAGCAATATTCGTTTTTAGGATTGGTAGGTTGCTAACCTTGCTAGTCATTCTCCACATTTTATCTGGGTTTGGATACACAGAGCTACTGAATCCACCCCGCAATTACCCCAGGCGGTGCTAAAATTGCAAAGCTACGGGGAGAAATGACCAATTAACCAATTGCCTACGAAACAGGTATACGACTCTGTAAGATTTCTCTTCTATATCTAATCTAATTTGATAATGGATGAAATCATTGTTCAATAAAATAAGGCAAAACGAGGATGCAGGACGAGAACACCGGAACTAAAAATTATTTGTTATGCAAATTGCTGGAAACCCATTCAGTGCCAAAAAGTGCTAGATTGGATTGCAGGGCCCAATATTAACTAACGCAGTTTTTGAGCTAATTAAAGTACAAAAACATCTTAACTATCCAAATTCATATTAATATTTTTTTTTGTTCTGAGACGATATTCAGAATAGAAAAATTCTCAAAAAGCTGGTCAGAAAGAGGCTGTTGTGGATGTCGGTAATACGAGATGATCGTGATTCTTTCGTTATTTAGATAGATGTCAACCACCGGGTAGTCAACATTGTGAATGAGAACGTTTGAAGGAATCATATATTCTAGTATTTGGACATTAGGAGTATGGCAGATGTTTTACAAGAGGGTGTTTTACTGACACCCTGGCGGTCGACCCGGGCACCTCTAACACAGTCCGTTTACTGCGCAGTTTTAGCCGCGGACTTGAGTAAAGATCTGGAAGACTCTATTATTGTTGGAGTTGACGATTCGTGTCTTAGGAGACGTCATGTGCGTATTAAGGCATTTTAGTGTTTTAGCCGTGGAGCAGTCATGAAACTTGCGGTCTTAACAATTGGATGTTATGTTATGTTTTGGTCATTATGAACTGAGATGTCTACTTTTATATCATTTCGAGTTGCTCTTCTGGCGAAGACTGACAACCATTTTCGATTTCGGAATCTCACAATGGAATCTCTCGCAGTCAAAGAGAATACCTCTTAAAAGGTCCGCAGCACACTTGGTTTTAGAATCTGTGTAACTCTGATGAAGCTAGTGGGTATGTTGGTTTTTCTTGTGATGATGCGGAAACTTTTTGTATATGGAAAGTTTGATTCTGCGAAGAATCACGTCTTTATCATGGAAGTTATGTGGCGAAGAGCTGTACTGTAATTACTGTAGTTATCCATGCTGCTGATCTTAATCTACACCTGGGAAGTTCGTGAGAGTGCTACGGCACGAGATGTGCAGTATATATTATCGTCTTGATGTGCATCAGCAGAATAAGGTAAGGTTTTTGAAGTGGCTGACCTCGTACGAAACGTTTTTGCCGTTGGAGCAGAAGGGGTTTTCTTTTGATGAGGTCGAATTTTGTTATTACTGTTGAGCTAACAAGGATTTGGAAAAGTTAAAATTGTCTTGATCTCTGATTTCATCTGTGGTCTATTTCTCGGACTTTAAAATGAAACTAATTAAAAAACTGCTCCTCCTTCACTACTTTTGAAGTAGAATTACTGGACTAAAGAACAATCCTGTTGAACGCTTATTCTTGATGGTCGATCTGATCTTACAAAATTCTTTTGTAATACATATTGATCCTTCGACAGTAACTGTCAAACAGACTCTTACCATAAATCTCTGTTGGCTTCGTTGCTTTTGTTAAACGGGGACTGAGATCAATGCTTCCTTGGCTGCCTTTTTATCTCTATTGGAGAGAATACAGTCGGGTTACCAACTACATGTGCTGTAACCACCCTGCCACGGCCTTTATGTAACTAGTCGTTCGGGTTGTTGATCATTGTCGTGTTCCTCCTGATGGTATGTACCCACACCATAATAAACAGCTGACTGTACAAATCTCTGTATCCGGTATTAATTTAGTGAACTGAATCTTAAAAATGTTATTTTTAAGATTCAGTAATATTTTTAAAGAATCTGCTTTTGTAAAATAACAGCCGATTCCATAGATAAAAACATGTAGAGTTACCATACTCCTTAAACTTTCTAACATTTCATTTAATATTGTTTAGAATAATTTTTGAAGAATTCTTGATATTTCACCGTTGTTTGTATAGGAACCACGAGGACTTGTTGGTCGTCTTGAGCGAGTTTCATTCTTCAACTCTTTTAAATTATAGAGTTTGAAAATAACTGTCTATTTTGTTAATAAAGTAAGTTTGATTCGTCTACTTTAAAATTTAAACCTCTTTCGGATCTGTTATTAGTTTCCAAAGCTTGGTGAATATTTAGACAGGGAAGGGTAAACATATGGTACGACCAAATAAGGAGAGTACAATTATTGTTAACTAAACATAGCGAATAATAGAACACATTATTCATCAAGCGGTTACATAGGTCTTGTATTTGCAAAAATAATTTATGTTTTTTTTTTTGTTCCGTATCAAAGAATAGTAATTCAAGAGTATTGTCAACAAATTCAAGCAATATTACCGGAGTTATAGAGATTTGAATACCGCACGAATACACACCACTGAATAAACTCTCAGTTTAAAAACTTCAAATGCGTTTTTCTCGAAACTTTGTTTTTTTGTGCAGTAGGCACGATTTCTTGAAAAAATGAAGTTTAAAGTTTTAACATAAGTTTGAATTAATTATAGTCTCATTTTTTTTTTTCATTTTTCCGATTCTCAATAGTTTTTAAAACATT